AACTGCAGTTGCCATGTATGGTCTGATCTAATGTAGTTGTCATGATTTCATAACTTTAAGAGTTGCCACATACTAACACTAGGAAGTTGAGAGAGTTGCCATGTGCTCACAAGCATGCTAGGGCAGTTGCCATGTAAAAAGGAAGAGTTGCCATCTGCTTATGTGCACGTTAGGGCAGTTGCCATGTACCATGCAAAAACATATGGCAACTCGGTAAAAGAGAGTTGCCATCTGCTTACGTGCACACTAGGCAGTTGCCGTGTACCCTGCAAAACACATGGCAAACTCGGGTAAAAAAAGAGAGTTGCCACCTGCTTATAAAAGCACACTAGGGGCAGTTGTCATGTGCAGTGCAAAAACACATGGCAACTAGCAGCTTGGGTGTGGGAGAGGAGAAGGGCGTATGGGCAAGATGCTAAATACCCACACACTAGCCCTTGTGTGTGCGTGCAAAGTGGCGTGTGGACGAACTGCTGAACGCTCACACACCAGCCCCTCCTGTGTGGTGAAACGACCGTGTGGGCGACTGGCTGAACACCCACACACCAAGCCAGTCCTACGTGGCACTAGAAACATGCGAAGATTCGTGCGCTCACGAACGGACGCGGATCCACGCGTGTGGACGAGATGCAAACGCCCACACGTGTGGGCGTTAACATTTTCGGAAAAAATTAAGATACCTGAAAAATAGGAAAATCATATATGCTGAAATGAGCGGCTGGCCACCCGGCCTACTACCTACCCAATCCTCTTCATTACAACAGAGAAGAGAGGATGTGCCAACTGCATCCATGCTTCGCTCACCGCTCGTTTAAGAGGTAGCTACTCCAGGCAGCAGCGGCGGCGGCGTGGTGAATGGGAACTACAGTGACAGCACTGCAAGAATGTCATTGTCCCATGTGAACGCCGCTGGATCTTTGGGAACTCCCAACAGCGGCGGCTGTGGTCCATCCGATCGGATCCGGTGATGGCTCCCCTTAATAATTATCAATCTTAATTCGCAGCGTTGGCTTCGTAGCTGCTGTCATCAGCAGCGCTTAGGGTTTCCCATGGCAGATTTTGAGCGCAAGTACTACATGAGCGAGTGCAGCTGCCCTGTCCTGTCGGATTTAAGACCTTGTCAGTGAGTAACTTCACTTGAGGATGTATTAAGGAAGATAATCTCATATGCGCAGTATCTACTCCCTCCATTCCAAAATATAGTGTGCCCAAGCTTCCTAAGGTTCAACTTTGACCATAGATTAACCAACGAGACCAACTGCGATAGTAGAAAAAAATTATATAATTGAAAACTTCTTTCAAATACGAATCACTGATATAATTTTTGCTACCGCCGTAATCGGTCTTGATAGTTAAATTTACGGTCAAAGTTGAAGCACGGGGATAGAGAAAGCACTACATTGTGGAATGGAGGAAGTATGATATAAGTTACTCCCTCCGTTCTATAGTGTAAGACATTTTTTAACACTATGAAGTATATATGTTTTTCTGTAGTAATTTGAATAGCAGAAGAGTGAAAGTAACGGCAAGGGCTGGAGGAAGATTAAATATGAATGCAAGAAGCAAGCCGGAAGAGCGTGGAAGCTCCTGCTGCCTACCAAACGTATCACCCACCCGCAAAACTGATCTGTGCGTGTACTGTTATATACTCCCTCAGTTTCAAAATAGATGACTTAACTTTATATTAATTTTAGTATAAAGTTGAGTCATCTATTGAAACGGAGGGAGTAGATAGCTTCGGTGATCACTTGCAAGAGGAAGGAAAAGGACCTCTTGTCTTTTACCTCCATCTTGAAAACCACGGATCTCCCTGCTTCTCTCTCTCTGGTTGTGGCTTCTGACACTTCACTATCCTGGTCTATAGTCTATACATACACGCATCAAGAACAAGAGTTTTGGTGTAGAAACTTGGTTCCCGCGAATAAACAACATATAACCGTCTCTTTTTATAAAATTCAGCGGGCTACAAGGACCATAGGATGGGTCGCATACTATGCAATTTTAAAGTGCATGGGGGACGCGTTGTTGCAGCGACAAGAAGTTGTAGTACGCTTCTTTGCATGTTACTCTCCACGCCATTCGTTCGGCGGCAAACAAGCAACTTGTCCTCTGATTACCACCAACGCTACACTCTTCTGTTCTGCAGTCCCACGGTATAGTATATTGCCAGGACAACTAAATTCGAAAGAAGAAGAAGAATGGAGAAACAGCGGCAGTGTTCGTCGACCTTTTTTTTAAAAAAAAATGCTCCCTTCGTCTATAAAATTATACTAAATCAGCGATATTTATTTTAAGACGGAGAGAGTACTTGACAGTGACGTGCATAGTTTACTACTTCCTTCGTCTCATAATGTAAGACTTTTTTGACACTATGTAGTGTTAAAAAAGATCTTACATTATGAAACAGAGGGAGTACATGCTTTAGTAGTTTCGGGGGTAGTGAAGGGCGCTTGCCAAATTCTAATGGGGCAGGTTCAGCGTAGCGGTCAGCCAGACAGCAAACGGTAGCAGAAAACACCGCCCAAAGTTGCTCATTTGGCACTCACAGAATCTTGCTCCACGACACTGGGTTGTTCTGAACCTGGCGACCTATCTCTCTCACAGAGTTGAATTTTGATTCCAGAATGAGTAAATAGCAATACTAGTTCGTCGAAAAGATCGGAACTTACCTTTCGGTCTCAATGAATCTTGGTGGTTATGAGCGCATGAAGGAGGATAGATGGTGTATTTTATCGCGTCAAAATGCAGTCGGGATCGTCGGAATAATTTAGAGAAAAGTATACTTTTCATCCCTTAATTCTTGGCGAAGTCTAAATTTGGTCCCTCAACTTTAAAACCAGACAACTTACGCCCTTAACTACTGAAACCGGCCAAGATTCATCCCTGGTCACGGTTTTAACCGGTTTTGGTGCTGTCCCAACCCGGTTTTGACCGTGCCGACTCAAATTCGCATACCTTTTCCAAGTCCGTTTAATGTTTTCAAATTCGGGTATTTTTTTCAAATACGTGAACTTTTTAAAAATTTGTGTACTTTTCCAAATCTGCGTACTTTTTCCAAGTTCACGTACCTTTTTTTAAATCCACGTACTTCTTTAAAGTTTCTGTGGTTTTTTTAAAATTCATGTAATTTTTAAAAATTGACATACTTATTCCTATTCACGTATAATTTTTTTGCGTTTGAAAATTTTATGTGAAATTGAAAACATATGCGGATTTGAATATCTTTTACGCGAATTAGAAAAAAATGTGTGGATTTGAAAATTTATGTCAACTTGAAACAAGTATGTGAATTTCAAACAAAGTTCATGGATTGGAAAGGTACACGGATTTGAGAAAAATACACGAACTTTAAAAAGTATGCGGATTTGAAACAAGTACGCGAATTTAAAAAACAGATGGATTTGAAAAAAAATACTTGGATTCAATAAAATTACACGAAGTTGAAAAAATACACTGATTTGAGAAAATTACGCAAATTAAAAAAATCATGGATTTGAAAAAGTACACAAATTTCAAAATAGTTCACAGATTTGCAAAAGGTATGTTTATTTTTGAAAAAATTGCATGACCTTGAAAAACTATGTGGATTTGAAAAGAGTATGTGAATTTTAAAAAGTTCACGGATATGAAAAAGTTACGTGAATTTTAGTCGGAACCGGTCAAAACCGGGGTCAGTCAGCACCAAAACCGGTCAAAATCGAGACCAGGGACAAACCTTGTCCGGTTTCGTTAGTTGGAGGTGCAAGTTGTCCGGTTTCAGAGTTGAGGAACCAAATCTAGACTTCACCAAGAATTGAGGGACGAAAAGTATACTTTTCTCAATAATTTATAGCACGAGGTACTACTAGTAGTAGTACATGGCTGTAAGTCATGTCGGCAGCCATTATCGACTACAAAAATGGATCCAAGGATACATACCGTCGTTGTCCGGCCGGCACAAAGCCCCTCCTCCTTGCTTGCTCGCTCTCCAAATGTTCCACTGCCCGCCCTGGTGCACAGGCGGTCTGCACCTTCCACGGCCGATAATCCTCGTCCACTGACGACTGACTTTTCCGAGAGCAGGGATTTCGGAGTCCATTTGTGGCGCCCCAGATGGAGGAGATAATATTTTAATCAAAATACAGTAGTATATGCTAAGAAATCGGTCCATTTCTCCCTGTTTATATATATCTAGGAAAACAGGTTCCATTTTCGTTGTAAAAAGAAAAAAAAGGGGAAATTCAGCCTTTTTGTTAGTCTTTTCAGACTGGTCCGGGCTCCGAAGCAACCCAAAAGAATCTAGCAAGGACAGGAGTGCACCAACACAACACAACACAACACAAAGCGGCGCCCCCAACCCCAATCCAATCCGATCCGATCCAACAACGACCAAACGAGGGATGGCCGCTGCTTTCCTTTGCAGCGGGCGGCATCTCAACTTGCTGCCGCCCTACCCAAAACAGAACAGAAGAGAACAGGGCAAGACGTACGAAAGCAACAGCCCGCGCAAAACAGCTCTACCTACCAAACTTGGTGGCTCCAACCAATCTGCACCACCAGCACAACGGACTCTCTAACACAAGAACATCTTGAACTGGAACCATGTTAAAACTGCTCTATTTTAGAAGTGAGAACTAACGACAAGGTCTAGTACTCATTTTCATATTCTTGTTTGGGACGTGTTTCATTTGCCACTTCTCTTCTAGGGAAGTTTGAGGAGATGTTCACAGGGACATGAGACCATGGGAAACGCACTGAATTTAGTATCTATTATTTCATTCCGTTCCATTCCATTTCATCGGTGGAGCAGTAGTAATAATTTACATGAAACTGAGCAGACCGAGGAGGGCAGGGAGGATCTGGCTACAAATCCTCACCTAATAATACTAGTCTCCTCCTCACCATCTACTGTAGTAGTAGTATTTCTTTTCCTAAAAGCTAAATAAAAACTTGGTAGTAGAAGGGAGCAACAATTTACAGCAGGCAGAAAGTTTGATGGAATAATTATTCCTAAGTTTCATCTATTTCATCCGGAGGCCTCTGAAGTCGAGCATGCCGGCCCTGAGGCCCAGGAAGTTGCTGCCGCAGCTGCACTCCGTCGCCGCCCCTCTCACTCTCAGGATGCTGCAGCGGAAGCAGAGGCCGCCGCCGCCCTGCTGCAGCTGCTCCATCTTCACCGGCTTGGCGCACGCTCTCGCCGGCGGCCGTTCCTCCTCCTGTTGGAAGGGCAGGCTGATGCAGAGGTCCAGGTTGAGGTCCGGGCACCTGGGCGGCTTACTCTCCTCCGTCGCCGGCTGCGTCTTGGGCGGCTCCGCAGGATGGAGGAAGGAGACGGTGGTGGCGCTGGCGGCGTGGGTGAGGGGGCGGTGAGTGACGGGGTCGATCCCCCTGCCCAGCAGCTTCCTCCGGATGTGCGTGTTCCAGTAGTTCTTGATCTCGTTGTCCGTCCTCCCGGGGAGGCGCGCGGCGATGAGCGACCACTTGTTGCCGAGCAGGCTGTGGAGCTTGACGATGAGGTCGTCCTCGTCGCGGGTGAAGTTGCCGCGCTTGAGGTCGGGGCGGAGGTAGTTGATCCACCTGAGGCGGCAGCTCTTGCCGCAGCGCAGCAGGCCGGCGGCGCCGGGCAGCGAGCGCCAGCAGCCCTCCCCGTGCGCCCGGACGTGGGCCACCAGCCGCTCGTCCTCCTCCCTCGTCCACGCGCCCTTGTTGGTGTGCGCCTTCTCGCAGCACGGCGACCGACCCATGGCCGATCTTTGATGGTGGTCTTGCTTTTGCTTAGCTCACGTGTGGGTGTGGCGTGGCGTGTGCGGGCTAGATTGGGGGGAGGAAAGGGCGGGCGGACTTATATAGACGGCCCCTCTCATCTGCTTGCTCTCTTGGGAAGGGAAGGTAGGCGCGCGCGGGAGAGAAAGGGAGGGAGAGAGGATGATGGATGATGATGAGTTGGTTGGTTTGGTGGAAGGGGAGTCGAGGTGGTTAGGGTGACGGCATGACACGACCGGACCGGGCCGAGTGGATTTTTCTCGCCGTGCCACGCCGGCCCGAGCGCGAGCGAGCATGCAACGCAAGGCGGCAGAGGAGGTAGGTACAAAGCGAAAGCACCCCTGTTACTCTATCTATCTATACTATACTACTACTAGTATACTAAAGGGGAAGGTAGGCTGCTGGAGAGTGCGTAACGGTGAACGGTGGCGTCGGCGTCGGCGTGTGCGGTGCTGACACATGTGGCGGCCGGGCGGTGATGGGTATGGCCTGCCTACTTTGCCTTGTTGCCTGCATCCACAAACCCAATTTGCGTGCTCCCCGCCCTCGATTCTCCCGCCACCGTGTCCTCAAATAATATCCAGATAGTTTCTTCTTCCTCATTTGAATCTTACCACTATCATCGAACTTGGGTGTCTTTTAACGTAGATTGGCCTTATAATTTGGCCTCTTAAAGTGAGAATGGCGTTTTGGCTCTCGGCCTACATGGAGGCCTATTTTTTTGAAAAAATCAAATTTCAAAATTTTCATTTTTGAAAAAAATTGATTTTTTTTGGTACAAATAAACAAGGATGTGAGGCGTATGTATGTAAAATTTTAGGATGAAATACATCGAAATGCGATCCGTACAAAAAAGATAAATTTGTGTTCTGGGGGATTAACAGTATCATGTGTTCAAAAACTCCAAATTTGTCTTTTTTTGCACAGCCCTCATTTGAACGTATTTTGTCCCGAAAATTTACACACTTGTGCACTATGCCTTCATCTATCTTTGTTTTTTTCAGAATTTTTTGAAATGTAAAAATATGGGTTTTTACGAATTTTGAATTTTGCGTTTGGAGGCCTCCATAGAGCTCACCCTTCACAAGCAATTTCCGTCTCAAAGTGCCTTATATACCTTAACTCGAGATAATTTAGCCTCTCAAATTGCCTCATATACCTTAACTCCTCAAGTGTCGGGCGAAAATTTGTAGGGGCGCGCGCCTACAACCGTCCATCCGTGCCTTGATCCGAATAGATGATCCGACGGAAATTGGTTAAAAAATAGATGGATTTAACCCTCTGAATACAAATACGAGACAGTAGGATTAAAAAAACAAATAGGAGACGGTTTACACGTCTATTCTGTACAAATACTTTCACAAGTACTTGTTATACGTCTTTCTACTTCCGCGTATGCTACGTCCCCCGTTCCATTACATACCTAAAAAAAAAGATGAAACTCATGGGCACTAGCACCCATGGTTTATTGATATAGGAGAAGCATCCCTTGTGAGAAACCAGAAATTTGTTCCCAACGTGGCTCGAACCCTGGTTGCTGGAGACGCCACTGCGCTCTCTTGCCACTAGGCTACAGCCTAGTTCTCGTTCCATTACATACCTTGTTTGATGAGTTCGTTACACTGATCATCTTCGTTTCATCCTCTTCTTTCTCTTTCTTCTTCCTTCCGTGCAATTACTTTCATTCCGTGTACTCATCGGACAAGATTAATGGCACCCATCTCTGGGGGACTCACCATTTTGTACTGCATCGTTCTTTCATTAACTCATCAGTTTGTACTGCCATGCTGCTTCGCAAGTTCATGCCATCATTTTTCCGATGAACTTGTTACAATCCCTTTTGCCAAACTTTTAATTCTCTTATCTCAAATATGCATCCTTATATTCAACACGTGCATGTTCTAATGTCAGATCTTAATTTTTTTGAAAGACTTTGTTGCGTTCTTATGAGTTGCCCCAAACCAGATATCATTTCGAGTTCATTCTTCCAAGTGCACAACTTTTTGTATGGTTTCTTTTCATTTTTAGTGCTAACTTTGGTTCTTGTTCTGCCAAATCACACTATACGAAACTGACTTTGTTTTTCCAACTCACCGTACCTTAGTTTTGTTTGTAGGAACTTGTGCCTATTCTGCTCAATTTGTCAACATATTATCCTATTCCTTTTTTGTTTGTCATCCACCATTGTTCTCAACCCGTCCTCTTGTTCTTGCGAATGATTCTTCCCATGGCAATTTCAGCAACTCGTTACTACCGCAATTTTAATTCTTTTATTTAATTTGGTCTTACTCGTAACATATTACCTATTTGTTATACCAAACTTATAATGTAATTTGCCTTCTAATATTATTTTGTTATTTTCTTCCAATTTAAGAAATATTTTTTGTCTTTCAAAACTACATCTCGGGAATAAACAAGCACAACCTCTCTTCTGCTTGCATAACATTTGCAAGTTATTTAATTTGCTCCCTGTATTTTTTTTAATTTGTACACTACTGCATGGTAAATTGTGTAAACAGCAAAAAAGATTCACCTTTGACCATATTTCCAACAAATTATATATTTATAGCATATGTTTGCCTGAACAAAACTTTTCTTTTTTTTCAAAGAAAAAAAAAATCATAAGTCTATGTACACATCTAAATTGTTTTTCTGAAACATACATTGTTACCAACATTTCAGTCACTTTCGCTCTTCACTACTTGGCCTATTCCCACTTTTTTCTGGATTACAGTTCACCCAAATCAAATTTGCTATCACCTCGTAACACACACGACTTGTAATAAATGTCAAATCAGTTTTGCTTATCATCAATATATCTACATCTTTCGATCCATATTGTACTATTACATGAAAGTGAATCCTACAATATGTTGTTCTTCCACGAAAGATGTAGGATTCACTTTCATGTAGTCGAAAGCGGAAGCGTTAGCACAACTCGGTTGATGTAGTTGTATGTCTTCACGATCCGACCGATCCAAATACCGAACGTACGGCACCTCCGAGTTCAGCACATGTTCAGCTTGATGACGTCCCACGAACTCCGATCCAGCAGAGCTTCGAGGGAGAGTTCCGTCAGCACGGCGACGTGATGACGGTGATGATGATGCTACCGACGCAGGGTTTCGCCTAAGCACCGCTACGATATGATCGAGATGGATTATGGTAGAGGAGGGCACCGCACACGGCTGGGAGAGATCAATAAATCAACTTGTGTGTCTAGAGGTGCCCCCTGTGTTGGGGAACGTTGCAGAAAACAAAAATTTTCCTACTCGTTTCACCAAGATCATCTAGGAGTTCATCTAGCAACGAGTGATTAGATGCATCTACATACCTTTGTAGATCACGCACGGAAGCGTTCAAAAGAACGGTGATGATGTAGTCGTACTCGACGTGATCCAAATCACCGATGACCAGCGCCGAACGGACGGCACCTCCGTGTTCAACACACGTACGGGACGGGAGACGTCTCCTCCTTCTTGATCCAGCAAGGGGGAAGGAGAGGTTGATGAAGATCCAGCAGCACGACGGCGTGGTGGTGGATGCAGGGCGTCACAGCAGCAGGGCTTCGCCGAGACTACAAGGGAGAGACGTAACGGGGGGAGGTGGAGGCGCCAGGGGCTGGTATGAAATCCCTCCTCTCCCCCCCACTATATATAGGGGTGCCAGGGGGGGCGCCGGCCCTAGTAGATGAGATCTACTAGGGGGGGGGCGGCGGCCAAGGGGAGGTTTCCCTCCCCCCAAGGCACCTAGGGGTGCCTTCCACCACATGGACTCTTCCATGGTGGAAACCCTAGGCGCATGGGCCTATAGGGGCTGGTGCCCTTGGCCCATCTAGGCCAAGGCGCACCCCCTACAGCCCATGTGGCCCCCCCGGGACAGGTGGCCCCACCCGGTGGTCCCGGTACAATACCGATAACCCCGAAACTTGTCCCGATGCCCGAAATAGCACTTCCTATATATAATTCTTTACCTCCGGACCATTCCGGAACTCCTCGTGACGTCCGGGATCTCATCCGGGACTCCGAACAACATTCGGGTTTCTGCATATACATATCTTCATAACCCTAGCGTCACCGAACCTTAAGTGTGTAGACCCTACGGGTTCGGGAGACAAGCAGACATGACCGAGACGACTCTCCGGTCAATAACCAACAGCGGGATCTGGATACCCATGTTGGCTCCCACATGCTCCACGATGATTTCATCGGATGAACCACGATGTCGAGGATTTAATCAATCCCGTACGCTATTCCCTTTGTCTATCGATATGTTACTTGCCCGAGATTCGATCGTCGGTATCCCAATACCTCGTTCAATCTCGTTACCGGCAAGTCACTTTACTCGTACCGTAATGCATGATCCCGTGACCAGACACTTGGTCACTCTGAGCTCATTATGATGATGCATTACCGAGTGGGCCCAGTGATACCTCTCTGTCATACGGAGTGACAAATCCCAGTCTTGATCCATGTCACCCAACAGACACTTTCGGAGATACCCGTAGTCTACCTTTATAGTCACCCAGTTACGTTGTGACGTTTGGCATACCCAAAGCACTCCTACGGTATCCGGGAGTCACACGATCTCATGGTCAAAGGAATAGATACTTGACATTAGAAAACTTTAGCAAACGAACTATACGATCTTGTGCTATGTTTAGGATTGGGTCTTGTCCATCACATCATTCTCCCAATGATGTGATCTCGTTATCAATGACATCCAGTGTCCATAGTCAGGAAACCATGACTATCTGTTGATCAACGAGCTAGTCAACTAGAGGCTCACTAGGGACATGTTGGTGTCTGTTATTCACACATGTATTACGATTTCCGGATAACACAATTATAGCATGAATAAAGACAATTATCATGAACAAGGAAATATAATAATAATGCTTTTATTATTGCCTCTAGGGCATATTTCCAACAGTCTCCCACTTGCACTAGAGTCAATAATCTAGTTACATTGTGACGAATCG